CAGGTATCCCGCTTTGGGATGGAACTATAGCGCAAGGTTAGTACGCGGCATGGTGACTAACACAGGAAGTGGTAGAAATGAGAAAAATGGAATTTGAGGGTAAAATTGGAAGGGAAATGAAGCAATAAACTCACCCATTTGAAGACGATGGAATGGCTATCGCCGACGCTGTAGTCAACATGCCTGCCACGGCGGTCCACGAGAGAAGACCCCGCATGGTCGAAATGGAATGAATGGGGTGGAACAACTACTAGTATATTCACAATAGAAATAAAATAAAATATTATATCTCAAAAAGAAAAAGGAAAGTATTTGGTAGGTGTAAAACTGAAACAGACTGCTGGACGACAAATCGTAAGGGAAGTAACCTTCCTAGGCTTCTTATAACAACTACTAACACTAGTACTCCGTGCAACTAAGCTGATTCTACTCCGTACTACTCCGGATAGCCAGGCTCCTCGCATTTGATTACCGAGTCAGTTAGCTGCGCTGTGTGCTAATTTTCCAGAGCTGAAGAAGATCGAGTAAGTCGTGGGGACTGAAGAACGAAAACGACTGGTGGATTGTTTCAGCGAATCTACGGCCGTAACCTGATTAGGCAATTGGTTATTCTCTCTTTGCATTGATGTTTGCACAAGTCGAATCTCACTCGTGCAGTATACAGAGACCCAGCCCACTGGGTGGACCTCACATGGGACCAATTCAGTCGGGATTGGCTGGTTAGAGCGGAAGCCCACCAAACAGAGCAAATGCCCCTGAGTCTTGAATGGTAGACCCTTAAATTGCGACCAGCCCCTGAATCAGACCAAAACATAGTACGTGCGCTGGATTGATCTATGTAGCATTTGAATCCAAAGCCAGTTTCTTGAGAGGGTAAAGTGGTTTACTTATTTCGCCCCATTTCTCTATTCTGGAAAATCATGAATCCCGTCCACAGTGCTAATCTGAATGGAGATATTCATTAAATTATCTATTACATAGTATGCCAATATATCATGACCATCGGGCCGAAACAACTAGCCAGACTGGTACCTATCTAGTACAATCTGTTTGCGACTTGCATCAAAGAGCCGGAACGGCGGCTTCCTTGTTCTCACCACCAGCCTTTTTCACACTCTTCCACTCCAGGAAGAGACTCGACACAAAAGCAACAACCATCAACGCTAGGGCGACGCGATATGAGTCTCTCAGGCCACTCATATAAGCCTCGATCACACCATCTATCTGATCAAGCTTTTCAAGTTCGCCAAGGACCTTGCGCATCTCAGTCGCACCAGCTCCGACAATAGCCATGGGGTTCACACCTGTCGTGTACTTGGTGATTCCATCAATGAGTCCATTCTGGAAAACTGACTGGCCAACAGCGATAAACAAAGCTCCGCCCAGAGTTTGGAAGAACATGACTGCAGCTGTGCCGACGGGGATGTCCTCCGGCGAAAGCACGGTTTGGACAGCAGTCATCGGGACCTGGAAGCCTGCGCCCACACCTGCGCCTGCAACAATCTGGTAGCCGATCCACTTTCCGGTCGGCATATCGACATCGAACAGAGTGATGAGACCCGTGCCGATGGCAGCAATTGCAGTACTTCCGATCAAAAAGGGTGTGTAGTATCCCGCCGCAGTAATCAAGCCTCCGAAGGTGACCGAAGAAACAACGGTAGCCAGCATGAGAGGTAGGAGCTGAATACCGGATTTCATGGCGGAGGATCCTTTAACACTCTGGAAGTAGATGGGGACATAATACACCAGCAAGAAGAAAGAACCGCCGAAGAACAGGGCAAACAATGATGCCGCCAGAACGGTACGCTTCTTCAGAATGTGAGGTGGTAGAGTAGCCTTTTCGCCCAGGTATATTTGTGAGGCGGCAAAGAGAATAACCATGAGGCCAAAACCGACGAATAAGCCGATGATTTTGGAGTTGTTCCATGGGTACTTGTTTCCTCCCCATTGGAGGGCAAGCAGCAGGCAAATGATCGCAGGAATGAGCAGACTGGCACCAATCAGATCCAACTGCTTGATGCGCTCCCAGACAGAGGTACCGGAGAGATCGCTCTTCTTTGGCACTTTGAGGATGAAAACGATGACGGCAATTGAGAGACCACCGATAGGCAGGTTGATATAGAAGCACCAGCGCCATGTTATACCGTCTGTAAACGCACCGCCGAGGAGTGGACCAGCGATCGATGCGATTCCCCAAACCATTCCAAATGCACCGAAAACCAATGGTCGTTTAGGCAGTGGTACTGTGAAAGATATGATCACCAAGGCACCGGAAAATATACCTGCAACGCCAATTCCTGCAATGGCTCGTCCAACAATCAGGACTGTGCTGGATGGTGCAACAGCGCAGATAAGAGACCCGATTTCGAAGATCAGAACGGCTATTAAGAATCCCCATTTGACCTGTGCGATTGATGATTAGATCTAGCTTCTTGGTTGGTAGCTGTTAGGTTGACCCACACTAAAAGTCTTATAGATCCTGCCGTACGAGGGCTGAAGTGCAGTTGACGTGAGGAAGTATGCACTGCCATACCAGGCAATATCTGAGATACTCTTGAATTGATCGGTGATTTTGGGGATGGCGACACCGATGATGGTCTGATCGAGCGCCACTAGGAAGATAGCGAGGTAAAGTGCGAGGATAACAATGATGACTTTCGAAAAAGGAGGGTATTCAGGCTCTGTTGTTTCTTGAACATCCTTGGCGACCTTTTCTGGTGTACTTTCGATATCCACGTTCGTAAGACTGCTGGCTTTGCTAGCTTCCGTCATTGTCACTCGCTATTATGACACGAGACAATAAACAGAGTTTTTTGGGCGGTATCAGACCCGTTGGAAAGGAGGATGAAGTAATTGGGAGACTCTCCATCTAGCTGCCAGCTTCCCATGGTTTTATAAAACACCGATCAAAGGCATCGGAGATCGGTGCCCGGTTATACCGAATCGAAAAACCCGATGACAAAAAATGAGCCACATGCGACATGATACGGCCTGACGCTTCTGGAACCCTGGATTAGTGTTGGTGTAGCGCCTCAAATACGAGGCGGAGGTAGACGATGGACCAATCAACGACTCGGCTGGCTCGGGATACCCTCAGATCTTCATTTCAGCACCGTAAGAAGCTGGCGACCATAGCGAATAGCGGTCGGAGCCGTGAGTCACTCAGCCAACGGACGAACGTACCGGACCGGACGAAAAATTTCCTTGTTTCTCTGCAGCTTCGATGTATTCCCTTAGGCTTACCCCGGCTGACGCTTGTATGCCTTTATTGGGCTAGAGGCGGAGAGAATGTTAGACCGTCCCCATGCTCCCCAAAGCCCGACCAGGGACAACGGAATTAACCTTAACATCCTTATCTCCACTCCATCCAAAGGGTATTCGCGGGAAAATTGCGGGTGCGACTTCACCTCGGGGTGTACTTGGCTAAGAAGGGCCTTGGGTGGTAAAAATTGTTGCATGGCCTTGTGCCAACTCACAGACCTGCTGTAAGACGTCGACTACATAGGTGCCAAGACGATTTCGTGATCGCCTCAAGCCCTTGCGGCTTTGAAAGCAATGTCGGGCAAAACCGTTAAAAATCCCCGAGGTCCGATATGCGATGCATGCCAGTAAGATACTTCAGCCACATGTAATACGAAAAAGCCACATGGCAGAGCAAAAAGTGATAGACGACAAAAATGACCCTTGACCTTATGATAACTCTTGTCTCATATGTTTGCGCGACGTTGGCTGCCTTGGTGCTAACTATGTCACCACATGAAACAGCAATCGAGTTACAGATAGTCGGGCCACTCCCTCATACCTCGACTTATGTTTCATGCGAGTTCAAGTTGGCTTTGATTGGTAGATAATTTCCTTCTCCCGCGTGATTCAACGAATGTCTTTCTGGCACAAACACGAATTGGTGTTAACACTGACACAATTTGACCTAGTCCGAGATATGTTGGTTCTTAGCTGTAAAGTACTCCTTATCTATAGAGTGGTGCCTTAGGTACTAGTAGTTAGTAATTATAATCGTACATAGTATAATCTCGAACTCCTTCAAATCATGGGCCACAAGGGCATTTACAGGCCTAAATAATGACATGGCCGACCGTGTTGAAATCCATATAAATAATAGTCTCTGGATTCTGAGAATCCTAGCACTTGGGAAGGGCGCATTCTTTCCCCTAATTGGAACTTCTCGTATTTTTTGACAGCCAGCAATCCGGGGTATCCGGAGTATGCTGCCTAAACTACCTGGGCACTGCCTGAACCTTATAAACCCTGATAAGAAACCTTTGCACAGACCGTATGATTGCATGTTAAGAGAATCTCTGACTTCACCCGCTCGCTATGGACCTATGGGGAGAAAGCAGATGCGCTTTCCGTCCACAAATGTGTGTTGGGCAGCTTCAACTCCTGGAAGGTCATTGTCGGCATTGCTCTTGATCAACATCCATCGATAACCAAAATTTTCAAGCAGGAAACACAATGCTATATCGTCATTTTTGCCATCATTCGTCGACGTCTTTAGTAATATGCCCTTCGTCATGGTGAATATAGATAGAATTATAGCACCAATCAAATACTAATCATCACTTACCCGAACTTGATGCTCTACCGACGTTAGGCAGCACAACTGGAGTTCCACTCATTCCTGTTTATCAACTCGAGTAGCGTCATGTGCAGAAATCAGCTGTTGCGCGAAATTTGTAGTTGATTTGTGCGACAACCTAATAATTCGATTTGGAGTGAAAAAAAGGGTACCTCTCCAACTTGAAGTTGTGGTCGGGGGACGGGGTCGTGATTCATACAATGACTTCAAGGAGTCCTTTGAGTAGCCGCCAAGCAGGCTCCCGCATCGTGCTTTACTATTTACGAGTTTATGAATTCTCGCCTCTAGGCTGTTATTCCAGATTTCAAATAGAGTATATGTATATTGTCAAAATATAGCTTAAGAAGAGAAGTTTAAAATAAGACCATCGTGTTCAGCATGACAACACTAAATCCACCAGGCCTCACAGGTTAGAGCCAGCAGTTATCTCCGAACCGGCCTCAGAGCCTACGTTCTTAACGACGACAGTAGTTCCAGACTCGCCGGTGACACGGACCGTGACACTGTCAGTACCGAAGCCAGAGCTGTTCTCGAAAAAGTTGTAGTCTGTCCTGGTGGTGCTTTGCCAGTTGCTTCCGCCATCAGTGCTAACCTCAAGCTTGGTGACAGGCTCGTTGGCGTTAACCACCTGCATCGAGAACCAGTACGCAGAAGTACCCTCCTTGTTCTTGAGCTTCAGGGGGCCCTCGAGGTCGCAGGAGACAGCGGAGTAAGTGATGTCGATGACACCGGCTGAAATGTCGGAGAGTTCAGCGAAAGCGTCCTGGAAGAGATCGAAGTGTCCTTCTGCGCATTCGGGGCATTTATCCACGATCTGTTTTGAGTTTGTTAGCGGTTTTCGAATTTATCTGTGCGGCATTGCTTTTGTTTCAGAGGTCTTACCATGGCCTTGATGGTCTTGCCGTTGGGCCCGGTGACGGCGACACAGGATCCGCACTTGGCTGCATTGTCCCAGACCGCACCGGAGAATGCAGTTCCGAAGAGGTTGCTGGGGATGGTGTATCCAGAGAACGAACAAGTACCACCCGCGACGTTTCCACCATAGAAAGTAGCTTCGCCGGATGATCCACCCGAAGAGGAAGATACAGAAGCCTGCTTTGACTGAGCAACGGGGGTTTGAGAGACGGCAGCCTCCTCAGTCACGGAAGAGGTAGTCGGAACTGCAGCATGAACAGCAGGGGCCTGGGAAGATGATGTGGTGACAACCACAGCAGCCTGGGTAGTCTCAGGAACTGAAGCCTCAGTAGTCTGGGGACGGAAGCCTCAGTAGTCTCGGGGACGGAAGCCTCAGTCGTTGGGGCCACAGAAGAGGGGATAGCAGCCACATATCCGACAGGTGAAGAAGTCTCAATCTGAATAGGGGTCTGCGTCTCCGAGTCGGTGACGGGGGCAGGCGTCGAAGGAGTGCTTGTAGGTTCCTCAATGGCCACTGGGGTTGGGGTGGCGGTAATAGGCACAGACATGGTGATAACAGTCGGCGAGTATCCCTTAGGGCAAACTCCAGAGTTTCCACGAAGAACCAGCGGGCTGGCAGAGACAGTAGCTGCGCTGCTGAGGAGGGCAAGGCCCATAGAGGCAATGTTTTGATACTTCATTTTGCGTGATTGTCTTTTCTCAGAAGGATTCAAGTTGGTAAAGAATGATAATTCCCTCGCGGATGCGGGTTGAATGAATGGGGGAGTGCAACTGTGTAGAGATCGGACACAATGGCACAATATAGAATGAATGGATGTTTGGATATCAAATCCGAAACTGAAAAAAAGAACTGTCACGGACAGGTGGTGAAAAAGAGTGTGAGAGGCAAGAAGGGAAAGGAACTTGAAGACGAAGACCTAAGACCATAAATCAAAAGGAATCAGGCTATCATCTTAGGCGCTGACTGTGGGCGCATACTATTTCGCAGCCACAGGGTTTAGAGAAATGAGGTCGAGACATCTGAAACCAGCGTGGAGCTTGGGCGCCAGAGACTAAACTCGGGACTGTCCGAAAATGGATGCGCGCCGTGCCTGAGTGGGCTTAGCGGGGGCAGCTTAATTAATTGAGAGGGAGAATCATTAAACAAAAAGGCGCTACTGAAGACTAGACCGTTGGAGGCTGCAATCCTTCTACGAGTATGAGACGTGAGATTGTCATGTCATATTTGGGGCCAAAGCCTGTCCGGGACCCCTACGGACCTGTGCTAAAAATTTTGACAAACAGCTATTTGCCAGTGTATATAGTATGAAGAGTACATGGTGAACGCAAATATTCTTTAGTTGTCTATCGCGCATCCCACATGACTTCGTTGAGTCGTAAGAGCGCATCCGCGCTGGCCTTTTTGGACGACATGAAGTCTTCCCGGTTTTCTGCACCCCGTGGACCTCGCAAGACCTCGGAGAAACAGAGATCCACCAGCACTCGCAGTTCGTCATAGGTAAATGGTTCGCCGTTACCTGCTGCCAAGGCGCCGTCGCCCTCGGCAGCGAACGCATCCTTCTCGTCCTTGGAGTAGTCTAGCGCCTTCTCGGCACCCTCTAGGAACCAGTCCAGGAACTTAGCGCTCCGAGGCAGGGCCACAACTTCGTGAAGAGAAGCTTCGCCAGGGTGGGAAGGGTCGACAGTGGGGTCGATAATGATGTTCTTCAAGTTTTGCTGTAAGACAAGCACATCCAATTGTAGGCGAAGGGCACCATTCTCATTCATCGCTCCGATGTATTTTGTGCAGGACACAAATACGCGATCGATGAACCGTGCAAGGCCGGAGGTGATGAACCAGTGCTCGGCAGATCCCAAATAGGTAGAGATGTTGGTATCGAAGGCGATTAAGTCACTGTTGAGCCCTAAAATTGTCGGGGAGGCAGCAGTTGGCTGGTTCAGAATAATGTGCCACCAGCTGTCGGTGGTGCTTGGAGAAGGTGTGGCGGGCTCGGAGTTTCGAACAGTAGGAGGATTAGGTCCCGACATGGTCTTGGTGAGCATGTGGATGATACCACAGCGGATATCAACATGCAATGTAAGAAGAGCAGTAGATCCGAGACCATGAAGTGATTGCAAAGTCTTGTCAAATGCTGTCGCAGTCTCGTCGTTAAGTGGCAGATACACGGGGCTGTTGACACTATCACGCTTGGGCTTCATTGCTCCAAAGAGTGTCCATCTTCGGGATGGTCGGCCGTTGGTGGATAAAGACGTCGTGGTATGCTCCGTAGAAGGGTCGACAATTAGTCTGATCTTGGCGAGGTGGCTTCCAAGCCATTGCTATAGAGACGAGTTTAGCAATCGTCAGGCAGGTGATGGGTACGATGGTACTTACCATGCTATTGTACAGCAGCGAAATGGCCACAACGGTCTTAGGGTCGGATATAATATCGTATGGCTCCAAGGGGACTTGATCTGTCCGTTTGAGGAGGAGATCAATTTCCTATGTCTATTAGTGTCTTCTGCCGACAAAACGACGATGCGATAAGAACTTACAGTATCAATAAGTGTCTGCTTCTTCTCGCCTGGCCCTTTCCATAACTCGTCAACTATATCATGGATGTCACCGGCCTCGGCGAATGACGCAGCAGCTTTAAGCCGGACAGCGCCTCCATGCATACGCGCGGAAACCTTTGTCACCATTGCTTTGAGAGAATTAGTGGCTGTCCAGGTATTCCATTCTTGCTCCACGCCGGCTAAGAGACGCACCTTTATACCACCCAAAACACTTATCATAATAAGTCACGATCTGATCAATCAACAATTGCGTGAATGCTTGATCATGTGGGATGCTCGATAGCATCTTGCTGAATTCTCGCACAATCGACATGAACTTCACAGTTCCCTAATTGATGAAATTGTGAGATGAGGGAGCAATGTATGGAGAGTGATAACAATTCTTACCCTAAAAATAGGTCGTGGCGAAACCTTGGTCCACTGGGGATCTTCAGTAAATGCATCGACGGCAATGAAACTGAGCGTGCATAGATCGGTGACAGTCTCATCCAGTTGGGGAAGGAAGACATTGACCATGAAGTCATCAAGGAAGGATGTCAGTGTGCTCATGGAGATATCAGAGTCAACGGGCACAATGTCCTTGAGACGTTGGATGAAGGAAAGCGAAGGCGGAAGAAGCAGCCGCATGTTGAAAACACTTGGCTCCAGGAGAATCTTATGACCAGTTCCAGAGTTGCCTTGTCGTGACGAAGAAGCATCGTTTGCAGCTGCCTTTTGCCTGGTTTTCGAAACAAGACCTGGGACAGAGGATTTCAGAATTTCATCCAGCTCGTCTTGCTCGGCCTTCATTTCAGTGCCTTCGTCCATGTCGGACAACTTAAACATTCTCTTGTTCTTGTCGCGGTTTCCTGTGTAGAGGTTGCGCCGAGCATCGGCCTCTTCGCTGCGGGAACCAAAGGAACCGTCTCCATCAGTGGCAAGGTAATCATGCAACAAAGAGCGAATCTGTTTGGGGGCAAATATTAGTACAGTGTTACAACTAGGCTACCGGGCTTACTTACCTCGCTCTGCAAGAGCTTCCACAATTCCTTGAAACCACCGCCAAGTGTATCACCCTTGTTTAGACCCTCTCGTCCAACAATCCCTTCGATAACGTCATGAACAACTCGATGGCCTTCTGCAATCGACTCAAATTTGGCATAGAGAGCGAATAGGAATTCAGAGAGCACATGCCCACGCTTCTCAATCGTTTCCGTGGGCAGGTTCGATTTGGCCTGGTTGTCATGAGAAGAAAAGGTACGGTTCGGGGCGGGATAACGGTTGTCAACTTCGGCATTGGTTTTGTCAACCACCGCAAACAATTCCACGGGAAGGCGCTGTTCAATTCGGTCGACAGCAGTATCGAGATGGCCCATTTTGTTGAGTGCTTCTATCAGTAGTTGAATATATGAGAATGTGTCCGCCTCGGGATTTCGTGATGAATCCTCTATCATGGCCGTAGTTGGATCGAATTTGGCCAAAAATGTGTATATCGGTCGTTCCCAGGAACGATTACCTGACCAGCTGGAGGAATTGATGTCTCCCTCGCCTACGGGAGCCTTCCATCTATCCGAACAGTAGGGCGACTTCAGATAAAGGTGATCATGCAGTTCTTCAATCAGAATTTCCGTGAGAGAGGTTTCCTGGTTACTGAAATAAGCCCGAACATCAGACAGAGCGCCAATGTCTTCAAGCTCGGAGCGGCGTAGCAAGCGCGATCCTGTATGCAGTACTTCAACGGCCGCAAGGAATCGCTTGTCAGATATACGAGACTCAAGCTTCTCTGGGAGTGATTGGATCTCTTCTATCTGGGCGAACAGCTGCAGAAGATCGTCATAGTTTTGGGAAGACGTCGCCAGCCCTTTTAGCTCTGGTTTGGTTGACAACAACCCGCTCTTTGCCTCATCCAGAGAGTGTCTCAGGTTGCGCACTCGTCCTTGGGAGCTGGAAATATTAGATTGGATCATGTGGTATGTACCAATGGAACTGTTAAATCCCTGATGGTGCTCTGAGGCAGGTCTGGTCAGTACTGGTAAATCGAATGGGCGGAGAAAGATCCTAACCGTTCACAATTGACTTGAGAGTCCTCTGGATCTCATTGTACATTTTTAGAAACTCCGGCTCACGTTCGGCTTTTCCCAGAGTACTTGTGTCCATGAGGCTGAGCGCGACATGGACGGGGATACATTCGGGGCCCGTCATGAATTCCCAATCCCGCTGAATTGACTGTAGAACATCTGTATACGTTCAGGTTATTAGTGAATTATCCAGAACTTGGTGTTGGAAAGCGTCCACGAACCTTCAACTGATTGGATCGGTCCCGAATTGTTTGGTATAAGACTGGCTTGGTGAGGGTTCATGTCCCGGCTGCGACTCTCCGCATATTGCGCAGCATCTCTCGAGCGATCTTGTGGGGGGCGATTCTCCCTTGGGCGCTGTTCTCTTGGGCGATCCTCTCTCGGGCGCTGTTCTCTCGGGCGTTCTTCTCTTGGGCGTTCTTCTCTTGGGCGTTCTTCTCGTGGGCGTTGTTCTTCTCGTGGGCGTTGTTCTTCTCGTGGGCGTTGTTCTTCTCGTGGGCGTTGTTCTTCTCGTGGGCGTTGTTCTTCTCGTGGGCGTTCTTCTCGTGGGCGCTCTTCCCTTGGACGCTCCTCTCTCGAACGCTCCTCTCTCAAGTGAGCACCATCCCTCGAGTTCTGATATCTCCTCTCCGACTCCCCACCCCGTGTTCTCGATCGCGACGATGCAGAATGCGACGAGCCCGGCGGCCTGTCTCGTTCTGAGCGATCACGCCGGCGCTCCGGCGACGGGGCAGGAGACAAAGACGGTTGCTGAGAAGCCTCCGGATAAAAGCCACCATAGCCACCTGGACGAGACCGACCAGACGCCGATGAACTGGCACCGCTTCGACCGCCGTATCCGTTCACTCCGAGATTATTGTTGTTGTTACCACCATATCCACCTTCGCTCTGCTGGTCATATCGGCTTGAGTCGCCGTAGCCGTAACCGTTTCCGTAACCGTTGCGACCGCTCATTCCCAATGGTTTCTGGCCGCTCACGCCAGGTGTCTAGGCCGATTTGGTAGGGTGGTCGTAGGCAGCGACAAGGGGTGCGGGGGAGGCCGCCAATGTGGGGGACGTTGGGATTC